AGCCCTCCGCACCGGGCTCCGCCCCGTGGTGCACGCTCCTGGGGCCCGAGGCTTCCGCCTTGCCTCCCGGCGCCAACTGGCTCTCACACCTGCCCGTCAAGGACGTTCTTCCGGGGGCGTTGGAAAAACCACACTCCGTCCTGCAAATCAAATCACCCCAGTTTGGGTGGGGCTGCACTTTACCCTCCCCTTACGTAATAGCGCCTGGGACGGCCTGTCAGTCATGGAAGTATCGGCCCCCGCCCGGGGTGGGATGGGCAGAGACAAACAAGCGCCGGGTCACAATTGGCCAGGGCGTCTGCCAGTCACGATGGAGACCCGCCCAGAGGTTTGTGCGCTCAGGCCACAGCGCAATCGCCATGCACAGGGATTGGGGTGCAGGATGGCGTCCCTGACCCAAGTTTTGTGGGAGGGCTGGGCCGCGAGACTACTCCGTGGCTCCCAGCGCAGGGTCCTACTGCTTTGGGCGGCGCTTCGAGGCCCGAGGCCGCCACATTGGGCCCACAGGGTTGCCGGGGTCAGAAGGACGTTTGGCGTAGGGCCAAGAAACGCCCGTTTGCTCGATCAGTGCAGGAGCTGAAGGGAGCTCAGCTGTAAGTCGGCACCCGGCACTACAGCAACCAGAGGAGCCTTGTAAACCTGTGCTTGTCGCCCCAGCCTGCAGCATCCGAGTGGGGGCCAGGGGCTGGGGGGAGGGGGGAGGCTGAGGACCAGGAATCCACATTTGTCACGGTTCCCTTGCTGATTCTGGCGCACACTAAAGTTGGAGAAGCTCTCCTATGGCAACGTAGTTCCTGGTCATTCTTTTTTTTTTCCAGTTTTTTGTTTTTCTAACTCACACGTTTTCACTTGGATCTCCTGTCTCCTTTCCCATAGAGGTCTCTCTCTGGCCTGATTCTGTGATCGCTGCCAGCGGCTTTCCAGGCCTCTTCTTACCAACGGTGCCTCCCCGTGGTTAGTCCCTCCAATCTCGGCACTCCACTTCCACACTTGGGCGACAGCCCTCTCCCCGCAAGCCGCTGCCCCTTCTCTAGACACCAGAGGCACTGACCTGTGACACCGCCTCAGTGTCTTACACTCATAAGAGAAGACACATTCTCTGGCTGGGTTGTTTGGTCCATTTTTGGTTGCCTCCGAGATCCGGGTAAGTGACTTATTGAAGGGCAGGAAGCCAAATTCTCCTGATGTTAATCCCAGGGGTTGGTTCTGAAACCCAGCTTCCTCCCCCAGCTGAAAACACTTCTGAGCCACTTCCTTTTGTCCACTTAGGACACATTTAGGAATGTTACAATGCCTTTTAATACGAGTCTTAATACAGAAAGGCAGGCGAGCAGGAAATCCTTCTTTAGGCCACAGGTGGTGTTTGGCACCTCTGTGGCCCATTTCCTCCCAATCTTCTTTGAAGCTCATTATCCTCTTCAAAGCTTTTTTTCTGCTTTCATCCTTTCCCCAACCTTCAGTTTTCACCGAGGACCCACATAAGTATTTCTCCAGCTCACATCTATCCACTGAGCTTCCAGTGCATGTCGTCAGCTGCCCACTTGGCACCGGATGCCTCAGACACACACTAGCATCAGACTGCACATGGCAGAAAAGCCAACTCAAACCGGCTTACTTAGCAAGGGGCTTTCTCTCGCATGGGAGGCTTGTCTCCAGAGGTGGTGCCCTGGTCTTCGGCTCTGCTTTCCTTGCAGTCCCTGGAATTGTACTTTCAGGCTGGTAGCAAGATGGCTGCAGCACTCCAAGCACACCCAGGATCTCACAAAATTAAAAGTATCCCTTTCTTCCAGTGGTCCCTTTTGAAATACATGAATACTTTTCCCAGAAGCTCCGCAAAAGAAATGCCCGCAGGTTTCAATGGCCAGAAATAAGTCTCTGGCCACAACAAAACCAGTCAACGGTAAGTAGAGTGAGTCCACCATGATCGGCTTGGGCTGAGATTTTCCCTGGATCTCTGCCTGGACTTGAGGCAGAGGAGATCCAGGATCAGATTTGTATTTTGAAAACATCACTTTGTGTGGAAAACAGATTGTAGAGGCACAAGGGTCACGGAGCAGTTGAGAAACCATGGCAGTAGTTCAGGCAACAGCCAATCGCATGAATTTGAAGGTAGAGATGGAGAATTGAATGAGTTCCAGAGATGTTTAAGATAGGATGATATCGTTTACATATGGTTTGACCCTTCCAAGCCTCACGTTGAAATGTGACCCCCGATGTTGAAAGTGAGGCCTGTGGGAGTATTTGGGTCATGGGGGCTGATCCTTCATGAAAGGCTTGGTGCTGTCCTGGCAGTAGTGAGTTCTATTAGTTCCCGAGAGAACTGATTGTTAAAAGAACCTGTCACCTTCTCCTCCCCCAGCCCCTTCTTTCTCTCTTGCCAAATGATTCCTGCTGGCCTCTCCTCTGCCATGAGTGGAAGCTTCCTGAGGTCCTCACCAGAAGATGCTGGTGCCATGCTTCTTATACTAATGTACTTAGCTGCTTCTGTCTTTCATTTGACATATGTATATTGCATACTTATGACATCTAGGCTTTGAATGCTGGGGAGGCAATGGAGAACAAAACAGACATTGTTCCTCCTCATCGAGCTATGGGAGATAGATGCCAGTCAAGTCATCTCCCAAACCAATGGCTAATTGCCTCAAGGAAGTGGGCAATGAGCCAAATAAACCTCTTTTTAAAAATAAATGACCCAGCCTCAGGTATTCCTTTATAGCAACACTGATGGACTTATACAGGTGGGATGGACAGAGCTTGGCCGTGGACTAGGTATGGGGGATGAAGAGGCAGATATGGCTGACACCTAGATTTTTAGCATGAGCTACAGGATGGATAGTGAGGCCATTCACTGAGGTGAGAAACAGTGAACCACACGCAGGTTTGGAACAGTGGGAAATGGGAAAATCTGGGTTCTGTTTGGGGTAGGTATGTTTGGGGTGCTTCTGTAAGCACTGTTGCCTGTGTACCCGATACCCACTTCTGCCTTTTTCATTACTGACAGAACCTCCATTTTGTTGAGGAATTTAAGCCCTTCAGTGGTTCCCCAATGGGCAAAGACAAAACTCCTGCCCATGGCTGTGGTCCAGCCCCGGTGGCCATAGGCTCCAGCCGCTCTGGCATCTTCCAGTTCCTCGGAAGGGAGATGCTCCCCCACCTCCCTACCACAAAAGGGGCCTTTGCAGTGAACGTTCCCTTTGCCTGGTCCATCCTCGTCTCCCCTACGCAGATCTCAGCTCTAACACCACTTCCTTGGGGGCAATTTGCTGTTGATTTGGGAGATGATTAGTGTCTGTTTCTCACACTGTAAGCTCCTGGGGAGGAACCATTTTTTCACTTTCTATTGTCTCCCTGGCACCCAAAAGCTA